GCAGGGACAGCACAGGGTTAGATACAGAGTAAAGCTCCCTCTACACTGTCCCCCATCAAACACTCCCAGAACAGGGACAGCACAGGGTTAGATACAGAGTGTAGTTCTGTGTCACACGCTGTTAGAACAGGAGAAAGTCTCCTTATCTTGGTGAGCTGACACTCTCGTATATCGCATCCTGTAGCTCAAGTACCTCCCCCCAACTCCCTGCTACTGACAGCCCAGTGACCCCCACACTGAGTGACCCCCCCCGCACTGAGTGACCCCCCTGCACTGAGCCCCCCCCCCCGCACTGAGTGACCCCACCCCCACCCCACTTCCCCCACGCTGAGTGACCCACCTGCGTTGGGAGGGCTGGCCCACTGGAAGGATCTTGTCTTCGTAGAATTTCTTCATGGCAAATCGATCCAAAGCTTGGTCAGCACTGTCGGAGGGGGACAGGGCAGGGTAGATGATGGGGGAGGTGTGAGAGTGCGGGTGGTGGGGAGGGGTGTGTCAGGTTGTGTGGGAGGGGGAACAACAGGAAAGGTTGAGCTCAGAGTGTGAAGGCAATGGCTATGTAATCACAAACTCAGGGAATAATGTGTCCATAAGCAACACATACTCATTGCACTGTTCATACAGGCACACCATCAGCAACTGTGTGCTTAATCGGAACATAAGGAACAGGAGCAGGAGGAGGCCATTCAGCCCCTCGAGCCTTCTGCCACTCGACACCTTCTCCTTTGGCCTTGGACATCAATCTCTCTTTCGCACCCACTCCCATCTCTCTCCGTCAAACCAAGAGAACAAAGATCTGTCTGTTCCAGCCTTAAATATGTTCAACAATGGAGCATCTGCAATCCTCTGGAGTCAAGAATCCTAAAGTCTCATACCCCTCTGAAGGAGGAAATACCGTCTGCGTCTCCATGGTAAATGTATCCTCAGACTGTGCCTCTCTCCCCATTTTGAGGACCTCCCCTCGCAGTCTGAGGGTAAACAAGATCTCAGTATTGATCCTGTCAGACCCCTTCAGAATCAGGTCCACTTGAATACAGTCGCCTCTCATTTTCCCAAGTTCCAAAGAGTCTTGCCCCATGTAACCCAAACTCTCATCATTGCACAGCCCCATCAGCACCAACCAGAGAAGCTGCGCTGTACCACCATCAAAGCAACTGCATCCATCGCGATGTGACACCCACATCCTGTGAACAATCAAAGTAACAGAGGGTGGGTACCGACAGTCTCCTTTATTCATTCACAGGATGAGGGCATCGCTGACCTGGCAGCATTTATTGCCCATCCCTAATTGCCCAGAGGGCAGTTAAGAGCCAACCACATTGCTGTGGGTCTGGAGTTACATGTAGGCCAGACCAGGTAAGGATGGCAGTTTCCTTCCCTAAAGGGCATTAGTGAACCAGGTGGGTTTTTCCAACAATCCACAATGGATTCATGGTCATCATTAGATTGTTAATTCCACATTTTTTTAATTGCATTCAAATTCCACCATCTGCCATAGCAGGATTCAAACCTGGGTCCCCAGAACATTATCTGGGTCTCTGGATTAACAGTCCAGGCAATAACACCACTAGGCCATTGCCTCCCCCTGACACTGGGAGTATTTGTTCATATTACTGGAGTTTACAAAGTTGGAGCCTCCTGACTGAGATTGCAGGAGAGAGCAGGTCTGAAGGTTTGAACGAGAAGGGAGTTCAGCCTCAGGTCTGGGCTCCTACCTGGCCGAGATGTTGCTGTAATGCATGTAGGCAGCAATGACAACTCCAGTGCGACCACGGTTTCCCTGGAGATGGAGGAAACACAACTGAATTAATGCCAGGAAACTACCACAGGCACAATCATTTCACCCAGCACCCAGTATAAGGGAAGAGCAGAGGAACTACTTGTGTATGATCACCTTGATCTGTAGCCGACTGTAGCCTGGTATTGTAAGGACTCATCCAGATGCTTGTTAAATGTTGTGAGAGAACCTGCCTCCACCAGCCTCACAAACGTTCCATATTTGTTTCAGCCTCTGAGTGAAAACATTCTCCCTCAGAACCTGTAAAAACCATTTACTCCTCACCTTAAACCTTTGCCCTCCGGTCTTAGAATATCTGCCATGGGGAAAAGATTTTCATGAACGACCCTGTCTATGACTTGCATAATTTTGTATAACTCAGTCAGATCCCCTCCCCCTCAGCCTTCTCCGCTCCAGGGAAAACAAACCCAGCCTATCCAGTCTCTCCCCATAACTGAGACTTTCCATCCCAGTCAATATCCTGGCGAATCTCCTCTGCACTCTCTCCAATGCAATAGTGTGGTGACCAGGACCGCACATACACAGTGTTCCATGTTGATGGGTTTGCATTATATTATTGGCTTGTGAAGCAGTGAGGGGGAGAACTTGTGACTTTTGAGTTCAGAAGATTCTGCCTGGCAACCACTTTCTGATTGTTTGAACTGCAGCGGTTCAAGAAGGCAGCTCACCACCACCTTCTCAAGGGGCAACTAGGGACGGGCAAGTGCCGGACCCATGTCTCATCAGTGAATTAAAGAAAAGAGAAACATCCAGAGCCTCAAAACAGAAAGTGTCCATCTCTCTCTCTCTCTCTTCCTCCATGTGCCGATAAAAGCACAAACCTGAAAACATTAAAAGAAAGAATCCTAATGAGAAAACACCCAGGTTTCCCTGATCCATAATCAAATCGAAGAACAACGGTCACTTAACAGAACAGCAGCTTGCCATTGGTGTGAAAGTAACAAAATGACTCTGAGAAAATATTTAACCCATCTCTGAAATCTGAATTTGTGATCTTTAAAATTTTGGTTCCCCTGTCTATAAATATTTACCATCCTCACTATATAAGTTAAACTATGTGTGTTTTATGTGTGTGTGAAAGAGAGGCAGTATGTGTGTGTCTTTTGAAGGGGTGCAGTTTAAGTTGCATAAATTAGAAATCCTTTCTTTTCATTGAATCCCTGCGGTGTGGAAGCAGGCCATTTGGCCCATCAAGACCACCCCCCTACCCTACCCATGTAGCCCTGCATTTCCCCCTGGCTAACCCCACCTAACCTGAACACTACGGACAATTTAACATGGCCAATCTACCCTAACCTGCACATCAATAGACTGTGGGAGGAAACCAGGGCACCCAGAGGAAACCCACACACACACGGGGAGAATGTACAAATTCCATACAGACAGTTGCCTGAGGCTGAGTTCGAACCCGGGTCCCTGGTGCTGTGAGGCAGCAGTGCTAACCACCCAGCCATCATGCTACCTCTGTCTTTTATCAAAGGCAAGCATGTTACAATAAATTTATTTTCTGTTAATGGCAAAACCTGGTGTGAATTGTTTTTTTGTCCTGAATAGCAGTCAGGGCAAAATTGGGCAAATTGGTCACTTTGGGCGTCTCACTGGGATTTGATATATTTTGTGATGGATGTGGAACAGTGAGGTATAATTATCTATACACTATTCTCAGGTACATTATAACAATGTTAATCAGTGGTGGGGACAGAAGGTATAAGGGCTAAGTTTGCTGATGGCACAAGTTAAAGCAGGAAAATAAGTGATGAAGAAGACATAAGATGGCTACAAAGGGACAGTGATAGATTTACCAAGTGGGAAAATCATCAGCACTTGGACTATAATGTGGGAAAATGTGAACTTGTTGGCGTTAGCAGAAAAATGAATGAATCAGTACGCAACTTAAATGGAGAGATAGCGCAGGACTCTGAGGTACAAAGGGATCTGGGTGTCCTGGTACATGAATCAGCAGGTACAGCAAGTGATTAGTAAAATAAACAAAATATTGTTGTTTATCGCAATGGGAATAAGATATAAAAAAGGGATGTTTTACAGCACTGTACTGGGGATTGGGAAGATCATATCAGGGGAACAGTGTCAAGTTCTGCTCTCTTTACCTGAAAAAGGATGTAAATAAGTTAGAAGCAGTTCAGAGAATCACAGAGGCACAGAAGGTGTTACAGCTTGGAACGAGGCCATTCAGCCATCGATTCTCTGCTGGCTTTTCAAACATTACCTTATGCCAATCTCCATTCTCCCCATAACCCTGCACAACATTCCTACCCAAAAACAATCCAGAGCACCTCGTGACTGCTTTAATTGAACCCGCCTCGATCACATTTTCCTGGCAGTGCATTCCACACTCTTGCTGAGTGAAAAAGTTTTTTTTTTCACATCGCCCTTGCTTTGTTTGCATATCACTTTAAATCTTCTTCATTTATGAGCAGGAACAGAGAAGGTTCGCTCGACTCAGCCCTGGGATGAAGAAACAGAAACAGAAGTTGCTGGAAAAGCTCAGCAGGTCTGGCAGCATCTGTGAAGGAAAAAAAAGAGT